TGTGTGTGTGTGTGTGTGTGTGTGTGTGTGTCTGTCTGTCTGTCTGTCTGTCTGTCTGTCTGTCTGTCTGTCAGTAGGAAGTGGAGAGGAACCGCGAGTTTTGGCTATTCAAAGGCCCTGCGGTCCAGAACATGAGGGATTCTGTGTCAACGGTGCGTGTTCCTACTCCTCCGACCTGCACACCCCCATCTGCCGGTGAGACCAGCCACTAAAAACAACTCGATACATTAAAGATCCCATCAATCAGTTGACACTGATCAGGTCTTGATTATCTAGTTCATGTTTGTTTGATTAGCAGACTAGCAAGTTGCAACGTTTGGGTTGTGGCTGTGATGTGAATAAAGCCTTGTGGATGTTTACAAAATGGGATGATCTCTTAGATATGTCACACCCAAATTTCCTGTTTCACAAGGAATCAACATATGGAAAAATAACTAGAGTCAACAGGCCGTTTCATAGGGTCTTTAGACGATGGATTCCAAGACCTTCCTAACAAATGTGATTTCTGCTGTCTTTAGGTGTGACAAAATGTACAGCGGTGTGCGCTGTGAACATGTTATTTTGGACACCCAACAATTGTCTAGTCCTGAAGAAGTCATTGGAATTAGCTGTGGTGTAGTTTTATTACTGGGAATCATCGTCGGACTGATGTACTGCTGTTTAAAGAAAAGGTAAAATCCTGAATACAGCGTTTAGCCTTTTATTATTAAAGTAGCAACTGCTTTGTTTATTGATTATTTTTTAAATGTATTTCTTTATTTTAAATTGTTATTTAATTCCTTAAACTTTAAATGTAATATTATCAGGCAATATTTGTAAATCAATGACAATGGAAGCATTCATTAAACGTTTAAATATTTTCTGGTTTATACTTCACAGGTGTCGGAAGTCATCACCACCCTACAAGAACTATGGCTCTGAAAACTCTGTTTAATTTATTGGACCAGATATAATTCATGCTCTTAAATAAAGTGCTTTTAGGCCTAAGACAAGAAGGAGGACAAAATATCAAGACCGATTCTACCAGCGAGACAGGCCAGACTGTGGAGTAGAGACACTACACCCTCTAGAGGACGGATGGAAAATGGCAAAGAAACACTTGGTGAAACTTTGCAAATCTCCATGTTCCACAAAGGACACATTAATCAATGTAATGTATTACAATAGCTGTCACAATGGGAAAATGCAGGTTGTTCAACACAATTATTTTACATTAATTACAAGTTATACTATAACTTGGGCACTGTAATGTAAAAATCATTTACTAACATTTAAAAAACTGCATGTAGATTGCATGCATTTTTGTTTATCTATAAGCAAATTTCCTAGGCTGCCTCCGTTATGAATGTATTATGTAAGTGCACATAGGTATTTATTGCACAGCTATAAACATGATAATACTAAATATAAAAACTAAACTGCGAATGTACTTGTATCAGATATTTATTTATTGACAAATTTGTATAAAATTTGCACCTAAAATAAAAAAATAAATAAACAGTGAAAATGTATTTTGTTTGAAATTACTGTCACATTGCTGCATTATGATCTTTATGATCTCAGCTCAAGCATTATTAAACTCAATAACTGTAAATGTATTGCAGGGTTTCATGTTGTAAGTTGCTTGAAAAATGAAAAGCAGATCGTATTATTTTAATAAAAAATTTCAATATGTAGAATAAATGTTTTTCTGTATTCTGAAAAGAACGATTTTCAAAAGATAGATAGCAAGCACCCCTAATAATGGCAATTAAAAACATGTGTTTTTCATTTATGAATTTTAATAGAGAAAGGACAAACGTGTTGGTACACTAAACAGTGTTCAAACAGAAACCAGAATGTAATTTCTGTTTTCATAAAACAGTGTACACATAAAAAGTTTAATTTGGTACAAACAGATGTTTTATTGTAAATTGGTCAATCTGGACCACTAATAGAAAACAGGAAGAAAGTACTGAATATTCAAGTTATAGTCAATATAGGCATATGGAAAGACAGAAATCAAACTTTTTCAATATGAAGTTGTGCCTGTGGCACTGGACCCAGCATTACAAAGACGTACTGACAGGAAATTAAAGCGCCTGTCTGTCCTGCTAAGCGTTTAGAAAACTTTCTGATGCTCCAGAGTTGTGTGAGGAATTTGCCCCAGCATCTGTAAAACATAAGAATGTTACATTGAAAGTTCAGGCAATAGAAATCAAGATACAGTGCAGCACTGTACTTACGCCTCACTCTTCTCAAAAGAGTGTTGAAAACATCTGTAAGAGTCGTTCTGTTGGAAGAACTGCTTCTGCCATAGGAATGGGCACCAGAGCTTGAAGTCTATGATAGGAAAGATGCCAATGTGTTTTATAAAAAATGTTTTTGCATGAAAAACCTGAGAATAATAAACTAGGAAAATGTGTTTACATGTGTGGCATGAGATCCAGTGCCTCTAGTGATTCTCAATCTTCTTTTAAGTGCCTCCCGAACCTGTTAGGAGAAGAAAAAAAAAAACAATCATCTCAGTCACCAAATACTTAGAAAGGAATGTTAAGCACAGTTCATAAAGCAGAAAACTCAGCTCTTACCTTCTTTTCCATCAGTGTCCCAAGGACCAGTATGAAGAAGCCCTGAAATTAGTGAACCGGTCATACAAGTTAGTTGTTCTTTATTTGATAAACTGTGATAATGATGTGAAATGTATAAATCCTTTAATATTCCAGGTTTAGTACAAGTTAAGATTAAACAACAGCATTTGTGACCATGGACCACAAAACCAGTCATAAGTGTCAATTTTTCGAAATTGAGATTTATACATCATCTGAAAGCGGAATAAATAAGCTTTCCATTGATGTATGGTTTGTTAGGATAGGACAATATTTGGCCGAGATACAACTAATTGAAAATCTGGAATCTGAGGGTGCAAAAAAATCCAAATATTGAGAAAATCACCTTTAAAGTTGTCCAAATTAAGTCCTTAGCAATGCATATTGCTGATCAAAAATTAAGTTTTAACATATTTATGGTAGGACATTTACAAAATATCTTCATGAAACACGATCTTTACTTAATATCCTAATGATTTTTGGCATAAAATAAAATCGATAATTTTTACCCATACAATATATTTACTTGTATTATATTTACTACTTATGACTGTTTTTGTGGTCCAGGGTCACATTTGTGGCATAATATTGATGGATTATTGGAAAAGAATTAATTTGCCTCCATCCAACCAGTTGTTGATTGGATAGAGGCAGATCTGAATATGAGCTTGTGGTCAATTGTAAGAAAGGATTCTTTGTGAACTAAATGATATCTTTATAAAAGCATTTACATTAATTATTTTGTGAAACATTTGTATTACATGAGCTGTGAATTTTTTTAACACATTTTTGCTGTCATTTTAGGGTTTACGGCATTATCTTGTCATGACAATGGAGCTGTAAAATTGGACTTCATTTCGTACTAAAGACAGTGTATTTTTTCCAAACCATTTAAAGGGATAATTCACCAAAAAATGAAAATTCTGTTATTAATTACTCACCCTCATGTCGTTCCAAACCTGTAAGACCTTTGTTAATCCTCGGAACACAAATGAAGATATTTCTATATAAATGCATCATTCATTCATTCATTTATACCACGTTCAAGACCCAGAAAGGTAGTAAGAAAATCGTTAAAGTAGTCCATGTGACATCAGTGGTTCAATCTTAATTTTATGAAGCTACGAGAATATTTTTGTGCACAAAGAAAACAAAAATAACGACTTTATTCAACAAATTCTTCTGTTCATGTTCATGAGAGTACCATGTGTGGTGCTGCTGATGCAGGAGCCAGCGTTCTGATGTAGAATGTCCATCTCTTAGTTCACCGTCTGTATATTCTGCCTCAAATAAGTAAGGCTGGGCAAAAAAATTGCAAGTCTGTTGAAATCTTCAGATATGTTTACGAAGACTGTTTTATGTACATCATGTGTCTTCTGCTTGTAAACATGGTGCAGCACATCTGGGTTCTACAACAGAACGCCGGCTCCTGCATTAGGACTAACAGGGAACAGAAGAATTTGTTGAATAAAGTCGTTATTTTTGTTTTCTTTGCGCACAAAAAGTATTCTCATAGCTTCATAAAATTAAGATTGAACTACTGACGTCACATGGACTATTTTAACAATGTTCTTGCTACCTTTCTGGGTCTTGAATGTGGTAGTTGTGTTGCTGTATATGGAGGGTCAGAAAGCTCTCAGATTTCATCTAAAATACCTTCATTTGTGTTCCGAAGATGAACGAAGGTCTTCCAGGTTTGGAATAACATGAGGGTGAGTAATTACTGACAACTAACCCTTTAACATTAATTTTGGCCCGATTGGTAAATGCCTCACAGTAAAGCTATGGTCATTTTGTTCAGCAAATTTTTGTGGGCAAAATCCAGGCATTTCAATAGGATTCCATGCTATTGGAAACTGGGGGGAAAAGACTTCCCCACGCAGATTTTTGCATGTTTAAGCTAGCCGCTAATTTGCTATGTTATCCAAAAGAAAGCAGATTGGTTTGAAAGTGACTTCTGTGTGACTTCAACACTGTACAACAAATTATGTTGATTAAGCTTAACCCAGAATATTCCTTTAAAGTGATAGTTCACCTCAAACATGAAAACTGTCATTATTTATTCACCCTCAAACCTGTATGAATTTCTTTCTTCTGCTGAACACAAAAGAAGACATTTTTAAGAATATTGGTATCCAAACAGTCGCTGGTCCCCAATAACTTAAATAGAATGGAAGAAACAAATGCTATGGAAGTTAATGGGGACCAGAAACTGTTTGGATACCAAAGTTCTTCAAAATGTCTTCTTTTGTGTTCAGCAGAAGAAAGAAATTCATACAGGTTTGAAACAACTTGAGCGTGAGTAAATTATAAAGGAATTGCCCCTTTAAAGTTGATGTTGAAAAGTTAAGTGAACTAAGTGAACATTTATACCTGCAAGGAGTTGAAGATTGCAAACAAGTAGTGGATGGCCAAAGCTTTAGGCTCTATCATGATGCCCAAGCCAAGACCCCAAGTGATGCCAAAGATGGGCGTCAAAATGGCCACACATCTGAGAATCGTCACCAAGGTGTTCTTTTCGTCTCTGTTGTTCTCTCCCACTCCCCTCCTGAGCATTTTCACCAAAACTATTATCACAATTATTATATTGACAGCCACAATGACCAGAGCTGGTAGGACAAAAGCCAGAAGGGCCTTGGACTGGTCCCAGTTCAGCCAGCATGCTTCATTCTGTGTGACATAGTGCTTATTTCCAGCAGTGGAGGCGACGGTAATAACCGAGATGAGGAGAGGTGCACCGTAGCCCAAAAGAAAGGCTAATGCCATCATGACCGATTTGGAAATTTGAGAGAAGACCATTGTGGTGCGGTAGAGGAGAAGAAGGGCTGAGACCAGCATCCAGAAGAACAGTGACAGGTAGAAGAAGTGGGTGAAAAACACTGCAGCGCTACATGAGTTAGTAAAGTCCGTTCCAGGCTTTACGATAGCAGCGCCGATAATGAAGCATATGTCAGCGATCAGGAGAGAAAGAGCAATATTGACTAAGGATGTATGCCGAACGTGTGATGTAGAGTTTCTAGATACTTCCTTCCAGATGATTATTTCGATGATAAGGCACACAACCAAGCTTGCTATTGAAATAGCAACACCAACGTATGTAATGACAGACAAAGCAAGATCGTCAGGAGCAAAAGGGGACATCAGTAATGAAAACGAAGTGGTGTGATTACAGTGACATGTGACACTGCTGTTTACCCGTATGACCTCACATCCCGTTGAGTCCCATCCTCCGGAGCTATTAAAAAGGTTGAACTCCCAGAAAACACATTGGGGGTTCCCTAGGTTTACTGAATTATTATTTAGAGTTACCGAATTTCTGAGTTTTTCAAAGTTTAGCTGTATGTTGTTGATAGATACGCTTGTATTCACTACAACAATCAGTCCGTTGATGACATTTTCAGTTGTATTTTGGTTATCGGTACGGTTTCTTGCAGGCATAACGTTGCCCAGGGAGGAGAAGGCCACTGCTGTGATTGTAACGTTTTTATGACTAGATGCAATATCCGGGATGATTATTTCAGCTGTTGAGTTGAGCTTTAATACTTCCCTGAAGTCTTCGGATGTTGTTACTTTTTTGAACAGGAATGAGTTGGTTGGACTGGTTATGTTGAAATTGGTGTCTGATGTTGATTTTATAATAATTTCAATGGCATTCAGGAGTTGAGAGCTGTTGCCTTGGCTTTCGCCATTTGAATTTAGCTGTTCCCATACAGGTTTCACTGTCTCTGATGAAATGGCATCCACTATACTGAGGAAATTCTGTAAGATAAATGATGTGAGATGTTAAAAGGCATCACTTTTAGATATGATACTACTGCAGTTTCTCAACTTAAAAGGGCAACAACTGAATGAAATTTATATTAAAAAAAAAGAATACACAGAGCCACTAAAAACTCAAGTCAACTAGTGTGTGGTCAGCATTATACTATGGCAATTCAATTCAGTTGTGGATGTAATTTAAACTTTAACTTACCTCTATGACACCTTCATCCAGCATAACAGTTTGAGAGACATTTGCAATATTGTTAAGTATTTCCACCATTGCTGAAACTGTAGCTTCAGATTGAACTATTGCTCCTTCATTGTCTTCGGTGGCATTGTTCACTTTATCCACAAAATCTGTTAACGTTTCAGCATCTAAACCCTGAAAAATTAAACAAAGATAAGCAAAAAAGGGTTTGCTGTTTGTATCTTGTCTTTGACGATATCCTGGATTGAGCAACAATTGTGTCATTTCCCTATATTACCTTACAGATCTACTCAGTATACAATATACGTATTGTGATGCACAGGTAATATGCATTATAAGCAACAGGGAAGGCAGTAAAACTGAAAAGCAAACCTGTGATTCCTGTTCCAGTTGATCAATGATACGAAGCACACAGGTGTCCTTTACAGTTTCCCATAAGCCATCAGAACCACACACTCCTTCTCTAAAGCCAACTTTGTCTTTCTCACAGTCTCCTATAGCAGTGTCATCAACTTTTCCAAAACCATATATGTCATTATAGCATGTGACAGCTATGAAAAAAAGAGAGAAAATAATGTAAATAGTACTAACTGATTTTTAAAACATAGTATTTTATATATTTGAGTTTGATAACATGTTTGTCCAGAGTTGTCATTGTGTGGGGCAACCAGGAATTAAAACAGGGTCCACTAAGGTAAAAACGCTATTTGAACTTACGGCTGTTTGGGAGTTGCAGTATAGGTTTGGAAACAACCAGTTGCACAGCCCTTGAGCTATATGAAAATCCAAGTAGAGCTGTGTTGTCCAGTTTGCAGGTGTATATGATAGTTTTAGCACATGAACTTTCAGCTGTGATTTGAATCTTTTCTGTAATACATCTCAGAGAATCCATTTCTGGAAATACAAGATGCAGGTGAAAGACATCACAGATGTGGCTACTGATATACTAAAATAACCGTCACATTGCTGTTTCAAGAATAAATGTATACAATTAGAAAATAAATTATTTTGCATTTCTGATAAACACTTACTGTTGATTTTTGTGTTCTGCACCCAATGTACTGAGTAATCAGAATGCACACAGCAGTCGAGTGCAACCTCCTGATTTTCACATTTGTATGTCTTGTTACTAGGCACTTGCATACTAGGATATGGCTTAATATAGTCAATTCTGTCCCAAGTAATATGTGGCCCTATGTTTGTATTGTATAAACATTCGTAACGCCCTACAAAAACAAAACAGACATATATTTAATTTCAGTTACAAAGACATGAGAACAGTTAAAAGAGGTCTTCCAATCTTCTAATGCAGATTTTTTTTGTTCATAGTTTCTAGTAGGGCTGCAACTAACAATTATTTTGATTGTCGATTATTCTGGTGATTATTTATTTGATTAATTGATTGTTTGGATAAAAAAAATCAGTAATTGCTAATTAATACTTTTAAAGGGGTCATGGACTCATTGAAGGGGTCATTGAAAAGTCAAAATTCCATTGATCTTTGGACATATAAGAGGTCATTGTGCTATAAAAACATCCTGTAAGTTTGAGAATTTTATTTGATAAACTTAAAGTTACAGACTGTGTCAGTAAGAAATTGGTCCTTTGTTCACTTCATTTTACTGCTGATTTGTTTACAAACAAGGCACAATTCGACACAGGATTTTCAGAAAGATTGAAACTAAAAGACGATGCTGTGCTGAATATATTGGATCTGATATCGCACCACACAAGTGCGAGTAACGTACGTGGTCACTATTGCTTTGTTTGTTATTACAGATCATTTGATTCCCAGACAAAACCTCAAAACACTGATAAAAACAATTGACATAATAATGGCCAGTGCTGAGGAGTAATTTCCTCCACAAATTAGTGTGAAACAAAAGAATCATGTTTACCAGTGTCTCTTCTGTTGGCCTGGTCAACATTGGCAAAATCCGAATGGCATCTAAGGAAACTGCTCCAGTTTGATTTGTCCTCTCATTCTTCGCTTTGATCCAGCCTTCTTCAGAAGAATACTCCCCATCCTTTATGATATACAGTACATCACCTCTTCTGTAGCTCAGCAATGTGGGATCCTCTGGAGGGAAGAAAAACGAAAAGATCAATATCCAAGCGATTTCGACCAGTTCAAGAACCATTTTATATGTAGAGTGATTCTTACATTTGACTTACATTTTAGTTTTAGGAGAGATTATACTAGTTTAACCCTTTTTATTGTCTCTTTAATTAATACATTTTTTTTTTTTTTTTTACCTAAACCACAGCAGCGCCCATCTATGAAGGATGTGGGCTGTCAAACATACACAAGTGTTAGCCAATCATAGCAGTGGGCGTTTAATTCTGAGTCTACAATCTGCCACGCCCTATTCAAACGGTGTTCTGATGAGGGGGGTTACTTCAAAATTATGTTTTTTGATGTAAAAATCTTGATGACATTTTAAGTGGACCTCAGAGAACAGTACAAAATAAAAAACATAGGCAGTTCATGACCCCTTTAATATATATATATTTTTTATGTTATTCCAGTGTTGTTCTCCAAACAATGTACATCTATAAGGCTATGAAAACTGATATAAGGCCAAGGATTCTCAAATTTCAATCAACTTGGGTCCCACAGGAACTCATTCTGCGTCCTCCACTATATTTCAAATGTGTTTTGTCCATAGAAATGCGATACTGACGGATGTTTTCTAAGCACAGCGCACAGACATGATTAATTGATCATCAAATTCATTGTCGATTATTTTCATGAACGATTTTAGCAATTAGTTGTTGCAGCCCTAGTTTCTACAAAGTAATCAAATGTAGAAATAAAATACATTTAAAATGTAATCACGCAACCATAAACACTGTACTCGGTTATATTTATAGATTTGTCACATTCAATTCATGTAGGAATTCATACATTTCACTCATTTAGATTAGCATTAACTATATGCATATATTTGATGTATTTGCAGAATTGCAAATTTATAATCATCTTTATTTTATGCTGTTGGTTGAATTGAAGTCTAGATATAGATGTTTATCTAGCACAAATGAGATAATATACAATATTTTTCAGTGACTTTGATCTGCCATGGGTGCAAAGACTCACCATTATCACCGATGTTAACACGCTTGACTGTGAGGTAGAGATGATCTTGTGAGAAAATATAATGACTGCTTGGCTGTATTATGTCTCCTTGAAATCTCCAGTCTACAGTTCCAAGTTGGTTGGTGGCAGGGCAGGAGAGTGTCATATCTTGTTCCGGAAACACAGCGTCTCTTTCCCGCATGTATTTGTTATCTGGAACATATGGACAGATGTGGATGTTGCAGCTCTATGAAGCATATACTACAAACACTGTTACTGTGTTTTGTCCCTTGCATATTTGACATAATTTTGCATATTTGTTCTGAAGAAAAGTACGGCATTTTCTTTTACCAGTTTGAGCGACTGAAAGTGGATCAATATTGAAATGGAGGTCTTTCATGTTGGTCTGTAGTGCTTGGCTTAACTCCTCAGAAGTCTTTATCTCCTCAGATGACTTAATAACGAAGTCTACGATCACGCTTCCAGGCCTGCTCAAACACAATTGCATTTTAACTAAAAAAAAAAAAAAGTCTGACAACATCCAAGCCGAAATTTTAGGGAGAAAAAATATCCTACCTAAAACCAGTGACAGTAGCAGAAAGGAAACCTTTTACATTGTTGTAGCTGCTACGAATCTACATGAGGCAAAGCTGTGTCAGATTTTTTTTTTTTTTTAACTGCTTTTAATATTGTGTTATCACAAAGTTACTGTTGTTGTTTTTTTTATATATAAAGCATTTTTTCTCTTTACATTCATTCACTTATTTACATGATATTAAATACATGAGAATTTTACTACATTGCTGAATTAATTCTCTGACAAAAACATAGATTATATATAATTCAAATTGCATATAGTACAAGATGTTTTTAATCAACACTTACTGCCTTCTCAATATCCTCTTTGTATTTCTTGAATTTGTCACTGTTCTGGTTATTCAGGCTTGCATCATAAGTCTCGTCCATTGACAGTGACATCTGACGATTTACTGAAGTGAAATAGAAAAAAAAACAGTAATAAAATATAGATACAAGCAGCTTTTATAAGCATGAAAAGACCATAATCCCATTAGCCCATAAGTTTTAATTAGGATGTGGAAACAAGTCAAACTGTTATTAGACATAAAATAATTGTGTTTGTCACTTTTATACCACCATCAAGCTATGTAGGCTAGCTGTCTTTACCATCCCTATGTTATGGGGACTAAATGTCCCCACAAGGACAGTAATACCAGTAAATTTTGACCTTGTGGGGACATTTTTTGGTCCCCATAAGAAAACAAGCTTATAAATCATACAGAATGAAGTATTTTGAAAATCTAACGATTTGTGTGAGGGGTATGTTTAGGGTAAGGAAATAGAAAAAACTGTACAGTATAAAAACCATTATGCCTATATGGAATGTTCTCATAATGATAGGAATACTGGTGTGTGTGTTTAAAAAAAATCTTTAAAAATATTATGCCACCAATTGGCTGCCTCTCCGGCAGTTCTGCAGCCAATCAATCACTTCTTTCTATCTACGCCCACTTTTATTTTCCTATCTGACTAGATAGAACTCAGTATGCGTGCTAAGACTATAGCACCCCTCCTCGCCAGCACCAACTGTCTAGATCTGCTACTGGGTTGTCTTTTAGCATACCATCATACTTTTTTTTTTTTTGGTTCAGTAGAGGGGTTCGTACTTTGCTTTGCCGCAGCAGCAACCGCAGCAAATTTTCTTTTCTGTATTTCTCATGGTTTAGCAGAGCAAGTCTGTGTACTTTTTGCAACATTTTTCAACTGCAAGTAATGTGCCCACCCACAAAATTAGGCACCGCTGCATTTTATGTAACACATTTATCATTATGAATTATATGTGGATAAAAGCATGATTGCTCAAATATTCATATAGTGTTCATATATGCCTAAATTAACCAAACTAATGGAGAAAACATGCACCTTTATTGGCTGGGCTGGCCATATTGATCTCAATGATATAACTGCTGAAAATTGACTGGATGATGGCAGAATTCCCATCAATATATTGTGCTAATACCTGCTCAGGATTATTGTCAAAGGTATTGCATACAAAATTTCTGGACATTTTTACCAAGTCCAGTTGTTAACATCATTTTCAGGTCATTAACACATGTAGGTTTCTGCGAGAGAATGTGGTTTATGTGATGCTGTCTGTGCCCACATTTAGTCAAAACTGACACAAAGATTATGCCATTTCTTGTGACTTACAGATTTGCTTAAACTATGTTAAGATTCACAGACAACTGAATGTAAAAATGTATATTAAATCAATCCGAATTCAATTAAAAAATCTGTGCACCAACCAACCAACCAATTAGTTTCAGGCATTAATATGTTTATAACAGTCATTTTGAGGTAAACATCTTTTTGTTTAGATTTATTTTAGTTTACAATAAAGATATTGTAATCGGTAGTTACCAGACAGTGGTATTGTTGTTACCGGTCTTGCTGTTGGTGGCTTTGTTGCTGGTTTCGGTGCTGTTGCTGGTTTCGGCGTTGTTGCTGGTTCTGGTGTTGTTACTGGTTTCGGTGTTGTTGCTGGTTTCGGTGCTGTTGCTGGTTTCGGTGCTGTTGCTGGTTTCGGAGTTGTTGCTGGTTTCGGTGCTGTTGCTGGTTTCGGTGCTGTTGCTGGTTTCGGTGCTGTTGCTGGTTTCGGTGCTGTTGCTGGTTTCGGAGTTGTTGCTGGTTTCGGAGTTGTTGCTGGTTTCGGAGTTGTTGCTGGTTTCGGAGTTGTTGCTGGTTTCGGAGTTGTTGCTGGTTTCGGAGTTGTTGCTGGTTTCGGAGTTGTTGCTGGTTTCGGAGTTGTTGCTGGTTTCGGAGTTGTTGCTGGTTTCGGAGTTGTTGCTGGTTTAAGCTGGTTTATGCTGGTCCTTTTGCTGGTTTATGCTGGTCCTTTGCTGGTTTACACTGGTCTTTTGCGTTTTGGTGTTGTTGCTGGTTTTGGTGTTGTTGCTGGTTTCGGTGTTGTTGCTGGTTTCGGTGTTGTTGCTGGTTTTGGAGTTGTTGCTGGTTTCGGTGTTGTTGCTGGTTTCGGTGTTGTTGCTGGTTTTGGAGTTGTTGCTGGTTTCGGTGTTGTTACTGGTTTTGGTGTTGTTGCTGGTTTCTGCGTTGTTGCTGGTTTTGGTGTTGTTACTGGTTTCTGCGTTGTTGCTGGTTTTGGTGTTGTTGCTGGTTTCAGAGTTGTTACTGGTTTTGGAGTTGTCACTGGTTCCGGCGTTGTTGCTGGTTTTGATGTTGTCGCTGGTTTTGGTGTGGTCACTGGTTCCGGCGTTGTTGCTGGTTTTGGTGTTGTCACTGGTTCCGGCGTTGTTGCTGGTTTCGGTGTTGTTGCTGGTTTTGGTGTTGTTACTGGTTTCGGCGTTGTTACTGGTTTTGGTGTTGTTGCTGGTTTTTGTGTTGTCAC